CATCTGTTCTCTTCGTCAGTCAGTTTCCTTCAAGACATCTTTATTACTTTTTTTTTCAAATCTGTCCGGGGTATTCTCATTATTTATCTATAAAATGTAATCTCTGCTACTTCTAAATATATATATATATACATATATATTTTTTTTCACCTGACAAAGAAAGACTGCATAAAATATTCTTTTTGTAAAACGCTCCTTTTGCTTGAACGATTCTCCGTCTAACTTTACATATTTCATCTGCTATTTACTTTCCCCCCAGTTAAAAATTACCCACCGACACACAAAACTCATTTTCGGCCACGTCCCTACGACTGGCTGCATTCTTGCCATACATTCTGACAGACTGACACGACATTTGCGACATCTGCCGCCTGCAGCCGGTAAATATTGATAAGCTGTCGCTCATATTCAAATTGAACATGAAACCGCTGTCACTACAGATTGAAACTAAAGTCACTGTTTATGAATGAAGTTGGACATTCTTGTTCATGCGTTTCCTCAGCCAGTCGTCTGAATGACTGTTACGATCCCTGTATGTTTCCCATTGAAATTCTTCCAGACCGATAAGGAGGAAGTGTTAAGGGGAGCGCTCTGATTCGAGTGTGCCTCTGAATGGGGCAAATACCAACTGTATGTATCAGCCAAGGAAGTCGGTGTTTGCCCTCTTATGACTGCCATTCCCCTTCTCTGGCGTTTGTTCATTTGTAACTAATGCATCTGAAGTTTTGTCTCGATCGTTTGTCTGGATTTTGTTTGCAAGTAATGGTTTTCATATTTCTTTTGATCGTTTAGTAGCAACTGTATATAAGTTTGTCTCAATCGTTTGTCTGACTTTTGTTTGCAAGTAATGGTTTTCATATTTCTTTTGATCGTTTAGTAGCAACTGTATCTAACTTTTGTCTCAATCGTTTGTCTGGATTCTGTTTGCAAGTAATGGTTTTCATATTTCTTTTGATCGTTTAGTAGCAATTGTATCTAAGTTTTGTCTCAATCGTTTGTCTGGATTTTGTTTGCAAGTAATGGTTTTCATAGATCTTTTGATCGTTTAGTAGCAACTGTCTCTAAGTTTTGTCTCGATCGGTTGTCTGGCTTTTGTTTCCAAGTAATGGTTTTCATGTTTCTTTTGATCGTTTAGTAGCAACTGTATTTAAGTTTTGTCTCAATCGTTGGTCTGGATTTTTTTTTTTGTGTGTGGCAAGTAATGGTTTTTATAGGTCTTTTAATCGTTTAGTAGCAACTGTATCTAAGTTTTGTCTCGATCGTACGCCTGGCTTTTGTTTGCAAGTAATGGTTTTCATATTTCTTTTGATCGTTTGGTAGTAACTGTACCTAAGATTTGTCTTGATTATTTGACAGTTTTGCAGCAAATAGATTTCAGACTTGTCCCAAACGTTTGATTGATTTTATTTTATTTAGTGGATTTAGATTGGCTCTCAGTCGTTTGGTTGATGTTTTAAATTAGCGGATTTCAAAATTTTCTTAATCGTTTGATTGGGTCTTCTTTGCATGTCTGGATTTTGTTTGCAAGTAATGGTTTTCATATTTCTCGTGATCGTTTGGAAGCTACTATGTCCTAGATTTGCCTAGATCGTTTGACAAAGCGTTGCAACTAATGGATTTGAGAGATTTGTCTCAGTCATTTCACTGACTGTTTAAATAAATTGATTCAAAGTTTGTATCGATTGTCTCACTTTGTTTTTTTTTTTTTTTTTTTTTGGTAACTGACGGTTATCATGCTTTATCGTTTGAAAGACCTTTCTTTAAATATGTTTATTATTTTTAATTCCTTAAGTTGTGTCTTGATAGTTTGGTTGTTGTCGACTGAAGTAATGGGCTTCAGATATGACTTCACTGTATAATAGTTTTCACATCTTTCCATCATGAACCGAGTTTGTGAACTAGTGGTTTCCATATATATTTGATCACTGATCGACTTTACTTGCTTGTTCCTCTTCAATGATTTTTGGCTTACTGTAATGTTAATTCTTCTTGTCACGACAATCTAAACTCAATATACTGGCGATCCGGTCAAGGGGGCACAACAAAGCCTGCAGAGTGGGCGGGGATATGTCATAACTGTGTTCAATTAGCTTGTATAAAGTCGAATTTTCTTAAAACAATCCAGGAATTCAGTTACAAGTCAAGAGTAGTTGATGAATGAAAAAGGCAAAGTTAAATGGGGCCGCGGCAACATCAAAAGACACACGGGCAAAGGGTGCAATCACTATATAATCAAAGATACGAGAATACCGGAAGTTCAATGCTGTGAAAATGACAAATGACTTGATCTGATAATTACTAATCACGACAAGTATAGCATTAAACTGCTAACGTGTGGATAGTTGAAGTAAGCACACAAGAGCTAACAGTTGTTTGATCTGACACACGCACTTGACATATGCTGGTCACTGATTAGAAGGTAGGATGTGCGACAACCTGGATCAACCCAGAAGGCACCATTTCCGAATACAATTGGCTTTCACTTCACTGACTGATTTTTAGAAATCTTGTCAACTTGCTGTGCGGAGTTTTCAAGCCTTCAAATCTTTCCAAAATTAGGGGTTCCTTAGTTAGTTAGTTGGTTAGTTAGTTAGTTGGGTTATCATCATTGCACTCAGGACATGTCCATAGGTGCTCAGATCCTCCCCTTAGTATGAACCCCAACGTCCGATGGCTAATAGTACCAGTTCTATGTTGATTAACAAGTCTTCTGGCGTGTCTGGTGTGCGTCTCGTTTTTTGCTGTACCGATCTTAATTCCCAAATCTGCCATTCTGGCGAGTGATGTGGATTCACTGCCACCAAAGTCCTCTCTATCCTTCCCATTTCTCTGAGGGCATTGATAATATCAGCATGATCCATAGGCTGACCGTCGGTAGTGATAGCGGATCCAGCCAACCTGTCAGCTCTTTCATTTCCATCGACGCCTGCGTCTCCCGGAACAAAAATAACGGTGACTCCACGCACAGTGGACTTCTGTAATGATTCAAGCCATTGTCTTCGCACTGAACCTGCCTGAACCCTCCGGATCATACTCATTGAATCACTGAGTATACACACGCGGGTGTATTGTTGTGGTTCAAGCCAGGCAAGCGCTTGCGTCACTGCCATCACCTCCATCGTCATGCTGCTGGTTGTCATGGAGAAGGCGCCGTTGGCTTCTTTGACTGTTCTGCCCGCTGAGCGTGCTGTAAATGCCCATGCGCTTCTTCTTTGGCGTATAGGAGTTCCTTTATATGGGGAGTATGAAATACGTTATGTAGGTATAGGCCGAACTCAGAATTTTGAGCTAAAAGTCCCATGGTCGACTTGTACACCATATTTGTACATCGCAGTTTAAGGTTTATATCCAAAAGAAATAGAGCATCTTATCTGTTGATGCGATACGTGTGCGCCAAGCATGTAAATAGTGTTGTTGGAAATCCCTAGAGGTCATTGCTTGGGTTGTGGAGTTTTCTATTTCCTGCAATGCATTAGGCCACCGAACAGGCGGAACGACTGCCACATGGAGTAATCATACCCAATGCAATGAAGTTAATCTTCTTGTAGTGGATCACTGTTGCTTTGCATCTGCATGTATATTTATGTATTTATAAAAGACTGTTGATCCCTGCCTGTTTTCTTTCAATGATTGGTGAATGATGAGGATTACCATCACAGTACTCTGGACAGATCCACGAGTGTTCTCATTTTCACTTTGAAAGCTCTACAAATGTAAGCCAACGGTTCTGAGGGATTAATCAAATGTCTTGTCCCCTTGGTGAAAGCATCATTTCTTGCAGCTCCAGGTTTCATCGCCATGTCCATCAGTCTAGACAGGGATACGGAGTACATGCCCTTTGCTGTATTTTCTTCGTGATTTATGCTGCGCATGACACTGATAACGTCGCTTCTGCCCAGTACAGGAATATCTACAACAATCGCAGTGTCTGCTTGATAACCTGCACGCTCGTTGCCTCGAACACCCGTATAACCCGGCACAAAGATGAAGGTCAGGTAAGTCATTCGCCAAGTGCTTAGTGACACAATCCATTCATAATTTTTTTTAAAGTATATTCACCCAGTTACTAAGTATTCATGCGTGTGCGAACTCTTGAGTGCCCAGCCATGCAAGTGCGCTGGTTACAGTCACAGTTCTCATTGTAAGGCTGCTAGTTGTATCAGCAAAGGCGCCATTTCTCTCATTAATAATTTTCCACTTGCACCCATTATGAATGCCCATGCACTTCGCTTGCCCGAAATTAATAATCCGTCCGTGTATATTACAGCATCATCTTCACCTGTGTTTTAATCAATCATAGTTTTCACTACCGTGTCTACTTTGCCAGGGATCTTCTCTCTGCGGCTAATGTCCAGCTTCTATCTTTCAGTGATGAAAACAGGAATGGAATATGGTTTTCAACAGTAGAAGAACATAATCATCATCATGTGCCCCGCCAACTGGCATAGGCGCTCATGCGTCTCCACAGATCACGATCCCTGGTTGACTGGAACAGCCCTCTTGATGATATCTCTCTATGCCATCGTTTCACCCCACCCAGCATCATCTCTCTTGGTCTGCCTCTACCCCTTTTCCACTTATCTTTCTAGTTGTGATGATGTTCTCCAGTGTCTCTCTTCTCATTGTGTGGCCAAAGAACAGTATGTCTCTTTCTTATTGTTGTATATAGAGATCTACTTTCAGTAGCTAGTAGAAGAACGGTGTCAAAAAACCATGTGTGAATATTTTGCTGTTGACAGTCATTCGGGTACCTGCATGAAGTACTGTGTGAATAAGGGGAATCTACTAGTACTTACGTTATGTACTTCTAGAACTTGGATAAAGTATTAGAACCTAAGTGAGTTACTCTTAGCTATGAGAATGCACTGGCACTTAGAGTGTGTGCCGAGAACTAGGAGAATGTGAAGGTACTAACTAGCTGAAGGTATGGAGAATGAATGAGGAGAATGAATTAGAAATAGGTGAGGTTCTGAGATCTAGGAGGATGTACTGGTACTTACGTGAGGTACTGCGAGAGCTAGGAGAATGTATATCAGCAGCAGTGACAACAACCTGCAAAAGAAAAAGAAACAAATCAACATTAGGACATTTAGAAAGCTCCTCTTCTTCTCGTAAAACTGAAGAATGCATACATATTTATTTCTGTTTGCAATCACTAGCAAATATAGATCCCAGTAACGCATTGGCTAGATGGCTGCCTGTGAGCCCAAAAGACTTTCAGTTTGAATCTGCGTAGAGTTGAACTGTTGTTTATTACATGATCCGGACTCCCAGGTCAATCTAGCTTAAAATGGCTACCGGGAAACGATGGGGGAAGCAAGGTGGCTGGCGTGACATTGATCACATCCCTATCAAGGGCCAATGGTTGTATAAAAACACGGGTCTACCAACATACGACCGATACACCAATGGCTTGAGAAGTGTCTTTACTCCTAAACATCATGTTTAGGAAATGTATTAAAAAACAGGTTTTGGGTTTTCTTCTTTTTCTTCTGCTTCTTCCCTTTCTTCTGTTTCTTCTTTTATTGTCTGCTGCTTCTTCTTCTTCGCATCCTCCAGTTGTAAACTTCTGCGGAAAGTTCTAATTGTCAACTTCTTGTGTGTAGTCCCCAGAACCCAAGTGTTGCGTTCACATCCGATCTGACTCGTGGTGAGGTGCTGATGTGTGGTATCCATCGATGCCTCATTTGTCCATTTTGAACAGAAAATCAGTCGATACAAACAGTCAGATGATACAAATATAAATATATTGGCTATTGACTATTCCACTTATGTTTTTTCAGGTTTGTAGTTTGTAGCTTTTCCCCCTCCTGAGTTGGCAAACACAGATAAAAGGACTGTGGCGCTAATTTGGAGATCACTTAGCATTCCTGAGGTGCTAGCTTGACGTTAACTTTTAAGTGCGCCGTCTATAGGCTTCAGTCTTGACGGCCTAGTCATAAATCAATAGAGGTTGGCATTCATGCTTCGGAAATACCAACAATGAAAAATATGCAGAGATTACAGATCGTTCATGGCTTATGGTTGGACTTTAGTATGTAGGTTTGCATACTATTTAGCCAAGAAGAAGACACAGAACTAAAGACAAAAAAAGCAGATATTTAAAACTGCTTTCAGCTTATGGTTGGATTGTTGTATGTAAGTTCACAGACTATTTATATATTTATTTAAACGATACGGTTGAATAGGTAAAGAAAAACTCGCAGACATTACAGATCATTCAAAATTTGTAATTCCTCCGTGTGATACATATGATTATAGATCCATTATGTATGGACCAATCGGCACTTGAAGAGGGATGAGAAAACTCCAGCGGCTTCTACATCCAATTCTTGGCTGGATGGAACTAGAAGTCCAGGTGATTATAAACAAATTTGCATCGATGCACATTGAAAGCAGTGATCATCGGGTCTATCAAACGTTTTATCACTGTACTGCATTGGCTTAACGAAAAGGTTGGGTAGGCAATCGTCTACCAAGTGATATGGGCGGTTCTCGCAATCGGGGTTTAATGTACCCTCACAATATTCTAGCGTTCCCTTTAAACAATTGGGAGTCAAGTATTACAGTATAACATGTTTGTTACTTTTCTACCTGCGAGTAGCAAACTTCTTGGGCATTTACTCATGCCTAAAGTTATAGTTGCTGCAGATTGGTCTTCATCCAGAATTTGAATTTTATGTGCACATCTGTTTTACGTATCTGAGCTGTATCCAGACTGTTAGTTTCTCGTCTCAGGCAGATGCACACTTAGAAGGAAACATCCTAGATCAGTGGTTCTCAACCTATGGTTCACGACCCTTTATTCTGGGTCAACGACCCTTTCACAGATGTTGCCAAAGACTATCGCAAAACATACATTCCTTAAAGTTATGACTGTGTGTTTGGGGGTCGCCACAGCACAAGGAACTGTATTAAAGGGTGGCGGCGTTAGGAAGGTTGAGAACAACTGTCCTAAATAGTGGCCTTCGACGACGTGCCCATTAGGGGTAGTCAGTTTATTCTTTAGTTCCCCTCCCCCCCCCCCCCCCACGGGACCGGGAACCCAGACCGGGAACGCCCATTGTAAAATTACAATAAGAAAGCACACAAGTATTTAACGTGACACAATTTGCTTGCGTCACAGGATGCTCCCGTGTGACACGAGGTTCGCTGCTTGCCAGGCTAACGGCAGTTAGCGTTCTCCAAGCCTCCACTTGTTCCAATATTTGCCCGCCTGGCGCATCTGAATCCAACTGTCAGCTGTTGAAAGTGTCACGGGCCACAGTGTTCGCCACACCTACTCCATACCTAGCTGCCCTCCCCGCCCCCTCGCCAAACGGATATAATGATTCTCCTTCTGCTTGAACTGTGACGATCTATAAGCAGTTTGCCGTCGATTTCCGAACAAAGCCTTCCAGTCGTTAGGCCTCAACTCTCGTCTTGCGGCCCATTTCAAAATATTTCTGACGATTTTGGGTCTTTTTTATTATTAAATGTACCAGGGTCGGAATGTATGGCGGCTGTTTGAGTGGAGGGGAGGGAGTGTGTGTCTTTCTTCTCAAGTGCCCTAGCTGACTTGTTTACTGATGGTGCAGAATGGGGTCATTTTTAATCCGGGTATCATTACAAACGAAGGCAGTACGAACAAGTAATAACATAAGAAAATAAGGTTAAAGTAACGTTAATCTCCGCAAATAAGAGTAGGTCGTTTATCATTTACAATTTTGTTGAGCTGGTCGACCATCCTGAAGGTTACGGGTGTGTCCCGCTCCGTTGTTTGCTTTCTGTGATGTCTTGCATTTACATTTTTCTTCCGAGAAAGATGATGCCTGTGGCATAGTTGCAGCACTCTCTAAGGGAGTTGTATTAGGGCTAGTTTCTCCATGGTTTTGGAGTGTTAAAAGAGCTGGCGTGCTGAACTATACAACATGCGATATCGACGGTATCGCAAAACACCCCAGTAACATTGTGCCAAAGTGACAGGTTCAGGAACTATCAATCAGAAGTCAGAAAGTGAGTATATGGGCGGTGAATGGGAAGATTAACGTTACGTGTTCCGAAAACTGTATGTCCAAAGAAAGAATACTCCCCACCCGCACTGACCAGTAGGCGTTTATGATTCAAACTTAAATGTAAATGACCATAATTCACAGATGTTTCGCAATGGGGAATAGTGAGCAGGTCTATTAATAATGTGTTCACACGATATACTTCACCAGACAAAATCACATAATGCTATAGAAACAAATCCTCATGATATATATATATATATATATATATATATATATATATATATATATATATATATATATATATATATATATATATATATATATATAGATTTATGCAGATTTATCTGGAACTAACATGCGTATTCATAGAGGCAGCCCACCTAACGATTTGACCTGAGCATGCGAAATCGAACGCAGCGAAGAAGAAGATACATATTTACATAGAATTATGCAGATTTGTTAATTTCTTGCCTCCAATCTCGTTCCAGAACCTGACTGTTGTGTTCACATCCGATCTGAATCATTTTGAATGCAGACTGTTGGTTCTTTGCCTCTCAGGCAGATGTACTCCCACTTTAAAGGTGCAGTGTAATATTACTGTAGTAACTGATAGCTACTAACTGAACACAGAGTCGTTTTAAGGCGAGAGCGCCATTACCTTGAAAAGGTATTCATCCCATATAGCGTAGTCTGTCACAGTATCAAAAAAAGATACAAAACCGAACGAAAAGTATATTAGCAAGCTTCACAATATAACAAATACAAACAAAACGTAAACGTTGCGGCTATGGAGCCTTCATTAGCACATACAAATCAAACAATACTACACAGATTCACAAAATCACTTAGCTGCTGTCTCGAAGCAGCCGGGTCGATGGTTTCTTTGCAGAATGCCTACAATTGTCGTCTGGGGAAATACATACCCCATGCGGAGTACCAGGGGCCATAACGAGGGGGTTAGAGATAAACATGTGAAGGCAGTTCAATCCCCTGGGAGTTTTAATGAAACTGTGTTGGCAATTCAGCCCTGATCTTCCGCTGTGAGCGTCATGCGAAGGACACGCTCTCCGAACCGCCTGCACTCATGGACTGAATGACGGAGCCCGAAATCAAACCCTGAGGCATCAGTGCACTAGGAAAACGCCTCAACCACTTCGCCACATATACCATCATCGCTTATCACCTACCTCAGCCCGGCTCGCTAGCACAGTTGGCTAAACCTGAATGAGCGGCTGCTGGATAACGAACTCTCTGTGGTCCGGGTTCACGGACGGGGGTAGGCAGAAAAGACACATTTCTTCCAGGTTTACGGTTTTTATCATGGAATCAAGGCCGAAGGGTTGCGATATCCACAGTACCGAGCCAAAGGGTTAGCAGCTCATGGTTTCTGGATACTTTATTTAAAAAAAAATAAACAAACAAACAAATCACCCACCTCTGACACACACAGAACTGTATAGGTAAAGCATTACTGGATGCATGCTGCAAAATAATGCTAACAAGACACAGCAAGTGCCTCTGTGTTGCCATCTTGTAGCGATCTTGTCGGGTATGTTTGTTCTGCAGGACCACAACCTCAAATGCTTGACTAGCGTTTCCAAGCACACGTAAAGTTGTCAACCAACAGACATTTGAATAAAGCGCGATAGTTGCTACAAGATTCTAACTGAAGACAGTGGCTTCTTTCCAGTCACAAATCTGTTATCATTGTTTAGTTAGAGCAGCAGTCTTCTTCTTTTTCTTCGTCTTCTCTTCTTCTTCTCTTCTTCTTATTTTTCTTCTTCTTCTTCTTCTTCTTCTTCTTCTTCTTCTTCTTCTTCTTCTTCTTCTTCTTCTTCTTCTTCTTTTTCTTCTTCTTCTTCTTCTTCTTCTTCTTCTTCTTCTTCTTCTTCTTCTTCTTTTTTCTTCTTCTTCTTCTTCTTCTTCTTCTTCTTCTTCTTCTTCTTCTTCTTCTTCTTCTTCTTTTTCTTCTTTATATACATGTTATCATATGAATAAAACATGCTGATTGATAAAATACAGCTGCAGTGTGAAAGATGGGTGTTTGGAAGGGCTTAA